ACGTACGTACGTACGTACATATGTGTGTATGTATGTATGTATGTATGTATGTATGTATGTATGTACGTATGTAGTATGACAGACACACACACACACACACACATAAACCCACCGTGTGTAGAGCCGGGGAGCCGTTGTGCTGAGCGATCTGGCTTTCCATTCCTGGCGACGGCCACTCTGACACGATGCCTCCTTGTAGATCCGGATCTTCCCAAGTGTTTAGTACCAATATTGTAGCGCCATCTCAGGCTCCTACAGGGGTTGGGGCCTAGATACACGTTTCCAGATCTTCCAAAACATTTTTTGTTCAAGCACTGCAGATTTTTTTTTACAGGGTTCCTTTTGGAGTTCCTGAAGGTCTAGACCCCAATTTCCTACAAGGGTTCTCCACGGCTCAAAATAAAATAGCCCGCCTGATTTATGCAGTATGGTCTTTGGACCCAAATGCCTTAAACGATGAGTCCTTGGCGGCTTAGGCCTTCCATTCACAGTACATGTCTACAAGGTTTGTATCAGGTTGAGGAAGGTTTAGGAGCTTCAGTGGTGCAAGTTTAGGTTTTAGGGCCAACGGGGTGGTAAGGTCTACGGCTCTAGCCCCTGCTGTAGGATTGTCACAACACATGTTGTCTAAACCCTAGACCCCAAACCCAAAAACCCTAAAGGTACTACAACGGGCTCTGTAAAGGTTTACTACAGGGATGATGAGAAGTGGGACGGTAAGGGTTCTATGACATACTATGACATATGAGGTGTTCCTTTAGAATTACACGAGAAGATCTTACACGGGAAGATCTGCACATGCCTGCTATTGTGGAAACGGAGTACGGTCAGTAGAGTTTAGGGTTTAGGCTCTTGGGTAAGATTTCTCAAAGCCCGATCCACAATCCGGCAGGCTGACCGGACGGACCATGCGCGCCCACTGAAAATTGAGCTGATGCACAGGGGGCTAGGCTGTAGGGCATCAAGTAATTCCAAGACCTCCAAGGTGACCTGCCAATTTGAAGCACGAACGTTGGAGCCTACACTGCTTTGAAAGTTTGTTCTCCAGGCCCAGGTCCTGAATGCTCGACACCCCAACCCTGTCGACAGCAACACCTGACATTGCTCTGCAGCGAGGCCCATCAGAACCCCAAAAGATGTTCAATTCAGCTGTTCGCGGTATCATTTGCGGAATACAATCTTTGTGCCCGAAGCCGTATACACCCTAAACCCTGAACAGCCCCTACATCATCGATATATATATATATATACATACACATATACACGAGGATATTCGAAGGAAAGCCCAGTTCCAACGATGAAGGCTGTGTGATACAGACACACATGTGTATGTAAGCATAATATGGTTATTTGTAAGTATGTATATACATATACACGCATACATATGTATTCACCCAATGGAGTACAACATACATACGTGTCTATGCAAATCAAAACATATGCATATATATATATATATATATACACATACACATATACACATAAGTACATACATACATACATACGTACATACATACATGCATACATGCGTACTGACATACATGCATGCATACATCCATACATACATTCATACATACATACATGCATACATGCATACGTACGTAAATACATACATACATGTATATATATATATATACACATACTCACAGAGATACAACCCGATTTTGTTCACGAATGCACTCTTACCGCTTAGGGATCTAGGCTGAGCGGCAGTTGAGGGGGAATTTTCAGTCTTATGTGTTTCTAAACTAAGAGATTCGAAGCCGATTTCCAGATCTAGGGCGTTCAGCTGTTGGCTTAGGATGCCGTGAACCCTGATTTCCCGAAGCATATATCTTAAACCTTAAAATGTAAAGCCTGAGCTCGGAAGCTTAAGCCCTGACCCACCCTCCGCAGGATAGGTGCTGCGACTGCTGAACTGAACCCTAAACCCTAAGCCGTAAACCCGTTCTCCTAAAACCGAGGCCTGTGCCCTAAACCCTATATTTATTGTTCGCGTCGGGAGGCTCGGTTGTGCTGTCCGGTGGGATTTGTGGTTTTGGGCTTAGGGGCCAATGGTCCTCAGTCCACCCTATATCCTAAAAGGGTTTAGGGTTTAGGGTTTAGGGTTTAAACCGAAAGGCCTAATTGTGCACCGTCTACCCGAAACCTTGAGCCCTAAATCACTAAATCGAAACAGCCTTCACACCCCGCCTTTGTGGCTTCGACAAAGAATGTGATTCGGAAGAATACCCCATAACCGCAATCGGAGGACCACGCCCCTTTTGCTGTGGGGTTCAGGGTCTGGGGTGTGGTGTGTTTGTAGGGTTTACTGTAGGGTTTAGCCTCCTTCATTACTTTAAATCCTTCGGTTTGTACGGCAGACTTCTCAATTGCTCTGCATACTGCAGGATATTGCCACCACCTCAAATCCAAACTTCAATCCTATACCCGCAAACCGGTACCCCTAAACCTTGCGCCCGGAGGACTTGCTGAGCACTGGAGGGTCCGATGCTCCTGTCCTGCATTGGCATGTGCTTGAAGAGGTGCGGGGAGAGGAGTAAAGACTGAGAATCCCCCGAACCCAAACCCTAATCCGATCATTAAACCTAACCCCCGGTTTAGGGGTCAGGGTTGAGGGTTTAGGGTTCCTAAACCCAAACCCTAATCCGATCACTAAACCTAACCCCCCTGAGCCGCCCTGAGCCTTAAACCCAAAGCCTCAAACCCTTTTGTTGAACGCAAAAGCGAGGCCATGCTTACACTCCTGGCCAAGCGGCGGCAAGAAGTGACCTGGGCATTGCTGGCCACCGTGCCGCCCGTCCGAATGGCTCCAACTCAGTCAGGTCCGACTTGGAGTGTTGGAAAGTGTTTTGGAAAATGAGTGATCCGACTATATTATAGACACGTAAAGTTAAGTTGCGCTTCTGAAACTACCCCACACCCACCCGCCTCACATTGTTGGGTACAAAGAAACTTGTGGGACGTCGCGCGATCCTGCATCTACAGCAAGCAGATACCTGTGGTTCATGTGTGTCTTGAACTACACTTACCGAGGGAGCACGAGCCACTGTCGACTTGATTCGGTGTCTGAGAGGTTCGTCTTACAGGTTAGCGCAGAAACATCTTGGCGTGAACACTAGACTGCGCAAATCAATCTTGACTTCAGTGGTGCGTGATTTATGATAGTCAAAGGTATTCGTATTCTTTCTCAGACTGTCAGAGTGTCCCAACCGTTTCTCTGTCGTGTGCGGAGTCAGTTGTTTGAGACTGATGTACGTGTTGCTTCCCCGTTTCATGTTTGCGAGCTCTTCACATCGCCGCCATGCAGCCTCTAAGGTAACATATTACACGATCTGAGCAGAGCAGAGCGAAGCAACATGCATGCGTGCCAGCATGCACCTACTTGCCTGCCTGCCTGCCTGCCTGCCTACCGACCTACCGACCTCCGACCTCCCGACCTACCGACCTACCTACGTGCCTGCCTACCTGCCTGCCTACCTACCTACCTACCTACCTACCTACCTACCTACCTACCTACCTACCTACCTAAATTACCTACCTACCTACGTACCGACCGACCGACCGACAGACCGAAGAACCTACTCCTGCCTCTAAACTTCGCCATCCTTCGACCCTACTCAGAGGTCCGCCAACCTAGAGAATGCCCAAGCCCGTGGCTACACCAGGCGTCCGTCCGCAGGGGCTCTTCGGATATAGGATTCATATGAGGGATTCAGGCAAGCGGGAACCCGGGCATATAGGTTCGAAGCACAGGGATACCCCTAAACTGGGACCCTCCTCTAGCACACCATAGGTGATAGTTGATTTCTAGACCTGCGAGTGCAATCTACAATGCACGATGGACGCTTCGTTGGCATACAAAGCCTCAAGCCATCCCTATAACCCTAAAGTCACTAATCTCTACACCCTAAAGCCCTCAACCCTAAAGTCACGAATCTCTAAACCCTGAAGTCCAGAACCCTAAAGCCACTAATCCCTAAACCCTAAAGCAGTAAACCCTACAGTCACTAATCTCTAAATCCTAAAGCCCTAAACCCTAAACTCTGAACCCTAACTAAGCCCGGACCTAAAGCCTATTCATTGGTGCGACCGCAGCTGCTACTCCGGCTGTGCCTGATGTAATCAGGACATCGCAAGTCGAGTCTAGGCCTAGAGCTTGGGGGGTTAAGGGTTGAAGGTTTGCTTGTCACTCTCAGGGCATTGAGTTTAGGGTTCAAGTTCAGGGTTTAGGGTTCGTTTTGGGTAATCCCCAGCTTCAATCAAGGGCGAAAACACCAAACCTTGCAAGCCCGTGTCATTCGGTTTCGTTGAGCAAGAGGTTCTTCGGGCTGTTACCATTGTGAGAAATTGTCCTCGCATCTCCGGCCTCAGTGGGTCGTGTTGGTTCTGTGCCCGTGCGGTTTTCTATATATATATATATATATATATGTCTGTGTGTGTGTGTGTGTGTTTGTGTTTGTGTTTGTCACGAAAGTGCTCCTTTGTTTCGAGGCCTCTACACGGGCTTCCCAAACTTGCGCGTCCCTTTGTAGAAGCCTCTCAAAGCGATCCTGTCTTTCATATTCAGGATTCTCTTGAATTTCAACTCTCCCAAGTGTTCAACCCTCGGGCTCAACGATGTAGTCCCAGATCTTCCAAAATCCCTCGT